CCTTCCCCACACGGGCGGAGCCAAAGCCCAGAAAACCCAAACGATATTGAAATAACTCAGCATGTAGAACCCTTGGCCGCACGTGCGGAACTGCTGTAGACTTTAAGTTGTGTTCTAGGGTGTTTTCCCACTCCTTGGCTTCACCTTGCACTCAAAACAAGAAAATTCTAACTCAGGAACAGTCTAGGACTACAATACAAGGAGACCACAAGGCATGACGAGCTAACACAGCATGACAAGGCCTCGGATTGAAATCCAAAGCTTGGATTAAGGAGTTAAGTACTTGGGACATCACATCAGTGAATTTTGGATATAAATTTAATCAAGGTCTTTCATGGTTTGGAATCTACTAATTAATTAGTTTGACTTGATTATTATTTTGTTGAATTCGAATGCTGGATATCTATTGTGATTTTGTGATGTCCCGGGTCTTGGATCCTATTTAAACCATTCTGGCGGTTGTATCTATGTTGTGTTTCAATATCTAGAAGTGAGTGGTTAGATGAATAATGCCCAACACTTGTAATTTTGAAGCTTTTGAATTTCAGTATTGTGTATACTTTGCCTTTTCCTTTATTTCAATATGAATCTTAAAGTGAAAGTAGTTCCATTGTAGATTTTGTCTCGAGGGCTTCAGTTTGGGCACAAGAACGACCCAAAAGAAAGTCTGGACGAGAGAGTTTTATGCCAGAGAGCATTTCAGCCTAAGCCTTATTGGGGTGTTCACAGCCGCGATGTTGAGACAGCAGGTGTGGTGTTTCATCAGTCGAGATACTACAAGGATGTTTTCACCATGGGTGAGACAGTGGGATGATCGCAGGCACGATGTAGTTAATTGCATGCGCGGTTGGGGGGACAGTATGGCGCATTCTATTTGAGTATAATGTCATGACAGACACGCACCCCATCATTTCTTAAGCCACTTTTTCAGATCCTTTTCTCTCTTTTCTCTCTTTTTCTCAAATTTCTTTATTCTCTCTCTAAAAACCTAATCAAAATCACACAAAACCTTCCATCTACCTTACTTTGAGTTAGAATCTCACCTTGCTCATTTGAGTTAGATTGTAGAGCGCGTCGGGAGCTTCGTTTTGATGGCCGCTGATCGTTATTTTGGCACATTCAACATTTTGGATTTTTAACAAGCGCTTCTTGAACAAGTTGGTGGAATCTGATGAGGAGATGAAACAGCAAGATGAAGATGAGGAAGACTCCTTTTGGCTGAAGCAACAGAAACCTTGAAAATGGGCCAGAAATTGCAGATTGATTTTGGTGGTAGAGAAGACATCTTCTCAAGGATTTTATCGAGTTGGAGATGAGCAACAAAGCCAAAATCAGAAAGAAAAATTAATAGAGTTAGAGTTAGAGAGAGAGTTAGCTAGTGGGGTGCAAGTAAATAATTTTCAGATGGAGTTCGGGTTGTGATGGAAAGTGGGGGATGGTGTTTTGTCCTGGACGTGTGTTGTGGTGTGTTTGGTTTGAAAGGGGAATATTTTATTAGAGGGTTCATGGGTTGTGTTGGTAAGCAGTGGTTGGTGTTTGGCCTGTTTGGGGAGTGTTGTTTTTATCTTTGTTAGTGGGGTGTGGTTTGGTGTGAAAGGGGGTTCTGGGTTTGGTGTGCTGGAGTTAAGTTTCTTCTTAACTTATTTATTTCTGTTTCTGGTTTTTTTTTGTTTTTGTTTTTAATTGTGAAGCTGAGGGGTTAGTTAGATGATTGTGAATAGCAGTAGTAGGGTTAGTCTATATTTTCTCGAGTCGCTCTCCATGATAATCATCTTTCTGTAGCTTTAATTTCATGTTTTTAAATGAAATTTTCTTTGCTAAGAAAAAAAACAATGAAATATTTAACAAACTCAAAATCATCTAAGTTGTAAAAGTAATGAAGTTTACAAACTTATTACATTCTTTTATTTATATTTGGAAAATCAATGAAAGGATAACAAATCAACTTGCTGAACAATAAAGTAAAACATAAAAATTCTAAAATCTTGAAACAATTGGCCTAGACATTCTTCTTCTTGATTTATTGCTTTGGGATGAATGTTTAGAACTGAGACTGCATGCGAACGATTATATTCTTATCCACTTGGAAGGCCTTTGAGAGAAGATCACTGGAGACTGTAGGTTTTGACCCAAAGACAGCATTTGCAATGGTAATAATACCTGGATTTTGGCTACTAAGTGCTGAAATGGCTACTGCATTACCATGTCCAACATTACGCTGGAAATGGATAAGACCCATCGGGAATACAAACACATCACCCTTCTGAAGTAGCTTTGTGATGAAACGATTTTCTGGGTTGGAGGTAACAAACCCTACTTGTAGGCTCCCTTCAATAACAGTCAAAATTTCAGTGGCCCTAGGATGTATGTGGGGAGGGTTGATACCCAATGGTGCATAGTCAACGCGGGCCATGGAAATGCCAAAAGTGTTAAGCCCTGGAAATTGTCCAACATTTACTAAATTCACCTTCGATCCAACTGCATTCGATGTATTGCCTGGTAAATGTAGCCCTCTAAATAAGAAATCGTTGGCTTGTACAAGCTTCGGATCCTTGCACACCAAACCATTCACTAGCACTGCTGCAACAAAAAATGAAAGATTTATGGCCCATAAAACTCAATGAGTAAATTATTATACAATGTTTATACAAGTAAATTGGTTTAGTCTTTTTTTTTTTTACAAATAAAATCTTCTTTTTCATGTTTTAGAAATAAAACAGTAAAAGGTTTGAAAGTGCTCTCATTTTTTTTAATATGCAAAAGTTGTTTTCAAAAATTAAAAATAAACTTTGGTGTTTTCTAAACAGTGAATTATTTTCAAAAATAAATAAATAATTGAAAAACAGTTCATCAAATAATTTTCTACATTTTTCAAAAAATAAAAATAAAAAACAAAATATAAATATAAATGAAATAGAACCAAATAAGCTGGAAAGTGCATATGAAGAGTATAGAACCTGAACTACTATTGTCTGCGACACAGAAATCTTGAAGAGGACTATTATCAAATGCAAAAGCAACCGGACAAGTTATTGCCAATAATCCTAATAACAAAACAAATTGTGATGCCATTTTGCACACTAAAAATATTCTTGTTGAGAATGAAGCAATCTTCTTCTTTTGAGAGTTTGAAAGATTTGATGAGATGGGAAACAAGTAACCACTAAGAGGCTGCTTTTATAGATGTTTTTGGAAGATGGAGATAGAGACTTTAAAGCCAACATAATAGCCCTCCAGACACCAATTAATAAGCACCAGAATGAGTCTATATCCTTCATTATTCATTCTTTATAATAAACAGACAACAGCATGTTGAAATGGTAAATGCTGCCATTTCTTTACGAAATTGTCAATATTTTGCCATGTGTTTGTGGTGTCAGCGGATGATATATGGGTTATAACTATAGGGAAATGTTATGCATCATCTTATCACAAAATGTGTAATTCTATGTTAAAATTTCGTAATATCAATTACAAAATACATAATCTCGTCACAAATTAGTATGATAAAAAATGTCATAACTAAATCACAAATTTTTTAATCAATCATAAAATTTTGAACATTTTGTTACGTCAATTTGTAACATGATTACATATTTTGTGGTTGATGTTTTGCAGACTAAATTTTTTTTTTTTTTTGATCGGTAAAAAAAGGCTTTATTGATGTAAGGATCAACTACAAAGTACGAAACAAATTACACCAATAAAGAAAAGAGAAATGCAAGAGCATCACAATGAGCTAAATGGTCCCAACTAGGTTGGCACCAAGAAGCCCATCTTAGCATTGGAGGAGATTTAAACTTGATCACAAAGAGTACACATGCCAGATATTTTTCATGCTCGTACTATCATATATATATATATATAAACAAATCATAGAAACAGGATTTCCCATTTCATAGTACAACATATAGGCCTTCTTTGGCCAAGGTTTTCTTTTATTTTTTGGGTTAAAATTTATAAAAAGAAAAAATAAGTTAAAATAATTAATAAAATAAAATGTCACATCAAAATCATAATCATTTCGATTTTTCTTTCACATCATATCCAATTATAAAAAAGAAATTAATTATCTTCTCAAACACATATTTTAACTTACTAAAATAATCAAAAATTAAAATAACCTGTTAAAGTAATCAACTTTCCAAATGCAACCATATTAAGAAATAAGCATGTTATTTGGTTTGACGAGGTAGCTTCAATTGTGAGGTGACTTCTTCATGTCGATGGAATACTACATGAAAAGTTCCTTAGATAAGATATATCTATCTATAATAAGCGCAGTGCTTACGCTTGCTTTTTCTTTTCTCGATTTTGTCCTTTTGTTTCGTTTGATTTACTGATGCTGGCTTGCATTTTGGCCTCTTACTTCCACAACTGCCCATGGACCTCTTCTCTATTAATTTGTTGTTGTTTATAAGGTCTGTGTTGAAATTTATCCACGTGAGACAGTTGGACCCAGCACATTATTATTTAACATACAGACAAAAATAAGGCTGCCCCACCAGACCTATCTAGAGGCCCGGCCCTAAGATTTTTAGAGTTTAAAGTCGATAATTAACTAATAAATTTTTGAGACTATTCATATATTTTTTTTTATTGAATGAAAAAAAAATGAAGTTAAAAGACAAAATTTGTATCAAAATCACAAAAAATATTTAGTATTACATTACAACAATTAATAAGTGTCGCTTAATCCTCGCTCTTCTTGCATTTTTAGTAACAAACAAATCAATCATACTTGCATAATCTAATTTTTTTGCAAAATCATTTTCAATAGATAACAATGCTAATTATTTTAAATGGGGCTTTCAATTTTTTAATGAGTCAATTTATTTTAAATTAGTTTTGGGTCTTCCTTAATTTTTCTTTATTTAAAATATACCTAATATATTACAATAAATTATAGTAAAATGACCATTTTTTTTGTCTATTTTCAATGGATAACAATGTCAATTTTCTTGAATGGACCTTTCAATTTTTTAATGGGTCAATTTATTTTAAATTAATTTGAACATTCTTTAATTTTTTTTTAAAACTTAAAATATACTTAATATATTACACTAAACCATAATAGAATAGCCCCTTTTTTTAGCCTATTTTGAAGGGCCCTAGACCATGGCCTTGTTGGCCCATGCCCAGGGTGGCACTGCCTATCTATCTAATGTGCTTATTTATTTAATATAAATAATGATGGTATTACGTGTATCAATTAATATATATATTAGTATATTAATTAATGTTATATCATTATTACTGAGTCCACTTATTATACAAATTATAAATACTCAAAAGTTCTAAAATTATATCACATCATCTATTAATATACTAATTAATACATTAATTAATATATATAATATACTCTCCGCTTTATTGACAGTCTTTTTTCATACTCTATATATTTTTTTCATCAATAAAACTTTTTTTTTTATTGATCAAAAAAATTAGTATATATAACATTATTCTATAAATAATGTTGTGTTTATTTATTTATTTTCCCCATGCCCCATCGCGACCCAGCCACGTCGTCATCCCTACTGGCCCATCACCTCTAGCCATCGCCGTCACAACCCAGCCATCGACCCAACCATTTCGAACCAGATCTGGAAAAGTGTAGATGTAGTTAAATGGAGAGATCTGAATCCAGATTAGTAGATATGGTTATTCTTTAATGCATTAATTATTTTTCTTTTTTATTGGATTCTTGTATTTACAAGTGTTTTTGCCACAGCTGAGGTGAAATTGATTTGGAGTGAGTATGAAAGAGAAGAGAGGGACAGAGGAGAGTTTGAGCACCAAGGATCTCTAGAGTGTTTTTTTCTTAAAGTTTCTTAAAATGGTATATTGTGTGATTGAGATTTAATGCTGAAAAATTGATGTGACTTGTTATTAAATCTCAACCACACAATACACCACTCTAAAAAATTTTAAGGAAAAAAAACTATAGAAAATCCTTGCTTGAGTTTGAGAGAGAAAAGGCTTTGGTAGTTCGGCGTCGTCAGCGAGAGGATAGAAGAGAGAGATGAGAGTTTTGGGGGAGTCTTTTGTGTGCATCAAACAATTATATGTATATATACATATATATTTCTATGCTTTGCATGAAAATAAAAATCGATAATAAAGTTCCATGATAAGAATAATATATAGAGAGAGATGGCAGTGGAAGAGAACTTTGGAATTTTTATAGAATTATTGCACACTAATGATTCTATCTTAATAATAAGAATACAAAATAATGATAATGAAAGGGACGGCTTGTCCCAGTCTGATATTTTAAGGTTTAAAAGAAATATTTAATTCATAGATCTAGGTTGACCTAAAATTTTTAATTTATTGAATTTTCGAGTTTGACTTAGAATAAAGGGTTTTAGTTTAACTTGACCATTTATAAAATTTTAATTTTTATATTATTTAATTACAAAATAAACTAGAAAGATAATAAAGAAAAAAAATACATACATATATATATATATATATATAGGAAAAATTAGTCTAAGGTTCATTTTTCATTTTTAGCAATGGAAGAGATCCACAATATTATATTATGATGTGTAAGGTCCCTCAACTTCCACACCAATATATCACAGAGAAAATTAACTCTTTCAAATCAATCCTTATTTTTTTTTTCTCTTTGTCTAAACTCTGTCTTCTTCTGCTAAATTTCCTTATTTTTTTTTTCTCTTTGTCTAAACTCTGTCTTCTTCTGCTAAATTCATATATTCTACTCTCTCTATCATCTCTGCGTCTCTTTCTCTCTCTAAAATGTTCTCTCTCTAAAGCAGCAGTCTACACCTTTCATTCCTCCTCGTGTTCCACCGCCAATGGCCACATTGCTGACGAGATCCAATGGCCACTGGGTAAATATGAGGTTGCGGTTAAACTGGATGAATTGCATTACTTCTTCTTTCTCCGTGCTCCGAAAGTGGACGATTCAGATTCGGATTCGAGCGATGATAAGGGCAGTGGAAAGAAGGGATCGGTGATTGATCCGGATAATTTGTTGAATTACGGGCTGACGATTGCGTCCAAGGGGCAAGAAGGTTTGTTGAAAGAGTTTGATGAAGTTTTGGAGCATTACAGTAACTTTTCGGTACAAATGGTGTCGGAGAAGGGGAAGAAATCGGAGGTGTTGGATGTAACGATTGTGAAGGAGATTGCACCGGAGGATTTGGAGTCGGAGAAGAAGAAAGAGCTGATGGAGGAGCAGTGTGCTGCGTACTGGACCACGTTGGCGCCAAATGTGGAGGATTATAGTGGGACTGCGGCAAAGCTGATTGCGACAGGGTCAAGGCAACTGATCAAGGGGATTTTGTGGTGTGGTGATGTGAGTATTGATAGATTGAAATGGGGGAATGAGGTTTTGAGGAAAATGATCAAACCCAGTGAAATTTACTGAGACAACTCAGTGAAATTTCAAAAAAACAAACTCAGAGAAATTTGTTTAATTTTCTCTGTCTTTAATTGAGTAAAATTGATAAAGTCATATGTATGTATTTATACTGTTCGTTTGTTTGTTTTGTTTGTTTGGTACACTCAGTGAAATTTACTGAGACAACTCAGTGAAATTTCAATAAAACAAACTTAGAGAAATTTGTTCATTGGAGAGAAATTCTCTTAGAGGTCCAGAGAAATTTCTCTAGATGAGAATTTCTCTGGAGAGAAATTTCTCTGGGAAGTCCAAAGAAATTCTCTGAATGAAATTTCTCTGGATCAAATTGAGGGACCTTATAAATTATGAAAATATTTGATGTCTTTTATGTTATAAAATCTTAATACCAGGGACCCTAAAAAAAACCCCGTTATATATATTTCTTTTTAGAACTTAAATTAATAAACTTTTTAAAAGATCATATTCATAACTCTTTTATTTTATTTTTTAATTTTATAATTGGCTAAGTGGGTAGGGCTTGGGATGACACATGTACTCTTACTATATAGTGTCGACACGACATAGCATCACCTGATATTTATCCACCCCAAATAATGAATGTCTATTAGAGTTCTTAATGAGTAGGGATGGCTACATTTTCGGGATTTAAAGTGAGCTATTGATATGATACCTTTCTTATATTTTTAAAATATACAATTTTTTTTTTTTTCTGTACATGCTACTTACATATATAACTATTAAAATATACTTAAAATATACCAAATTTTACAATAAGAAAAGGATCAAAATAATCCAGCTCGAGCATCAAATAAAAAGTGAATAAACTGTAATAAAATATCACTTAAATATCACCATTTCTTGCATTTTTAGATATAAAATTGCTAATCTTGCATAATCCCAGGGGCTAAAGTGAGATTTGATGCAAAGTGTAGGGGTGTAAAGTGTAATTTAACCTTTTCGGGGTTTAAACTGAATTATCGATATGATACCTTTCTTATATTTTTAAAATATACAATTTTTTTTTTTTTCTGTACATGCTACTTACATATATAACTATTAAAATATACTTAAAATATACCAAATTTTACAATAAGAAAAGGATCAAAATAATCCAGCTCGAGCATCAAATAAAAAGTGAATAAACTGTAATAAAATATCACTTAAACATCTCCATTTCTTGCGTTTTTAGATGTAAAATTGCTAATCTTGCATAATCCAACTTATCAAATTATTCCTTTTCAATGGATGAAATTACTAATACATTCAATATTTCTTGTAACATAATTGACCAAAAGTAAAATTAATCAACTTTAAATTTAAAAAGTTTTTTTTTCCAGAAACGACTATAACTATTATAATTAATTTTATTCTATAAACAATCTATGCATTTGAGAAACAACAATCTATTAATTTTAAATAACTCACCATATCAATGAGTATTTTAATTTTTTTTTCTGTAAAAACAATCATCCATAACTTCAATTAAATCACTACATCAACCATTTACTAATTTTAAATCTTCACCAAACTTTGTCATAACCAGTAGTTGTTAATACCATGTACGGATTCTCACATAACTAGTGCTTGATTTCCAACTTAATCCGAAAGATTATAGTTAATCTAATTTATCTTATATTTTTAATCTAATATCACGACAATAATAACCTCATCACTCAACTAATATATGAGATAGGATTAACAATACTACTCTTCCATATAAATGTTAATCCCACCCATTTGAAGATTCATAATCCCATAACACTATTAAGAGAAATTTTACTTATACCACAATGTTACCTCTTTACACCTATTATCTCAATACACTTTTAAAAAATAATTAAAATTCTCATTAAACTCTTTATAATACCAAAACTAATCCCAAATGAAACCTTTTTCAAAACCCTTACAAATTTTGCTCATTATACCTATTCCTTTTGAATTATTCCGCTATTATTTTACTAAACAAACTATATTTGTCCAGTCATCTATTGTCGTACATTTATAGATTCACTTTCCTTAGAACATCATATTTTTTTTTCTAAATTTATGATGGGTCTGTTCTGTTATACATTGCCAAATAATTTGGATTATTCTAGTGTCATGTTGCCAAATAAATTAGATTTATCCAGCCATCTATTGTCGCATGTTTGTAGAATCACTTTCCTTAAAACATCCAACATCCATAAAAACATAAAATGTAACAAAATTCCATAAAATTTGTCAATACAAATATTTTCAAATTAATCAATACAACATTTATAAAAACACACTAAGATATTATCACAATCCATCTATATTGATAGTAAGCATACAAAATTGATCAATATGTGTAGTATATACTTTCTCTCATCTATTAGCACACAGGTGATGAAAACGAATCCAATTACTTGCTTTCAGAGATACTAAATGACTAGTAAGCAGATAAATCTAGCAAATCTCGTCTGTAATGAATTTGTGACTGTAGTCTGTTAACAATGCACTAGCCATATTACAATGAATAGAAGCATAATCCTTTAAAGCAAAAAACAAAACAAAAATGTTAGAAAAATAAACTAAAAATGTTTAGGAGTGAGTTACCGGATATGTACATTTTATTTGGTAATAGATTACTGAATAAGTATTTTTTATTCAACAATGGGTTACTGGATAAATATTTTTTGTTCGATAGTGCAATTCCAAACTATTTGATTCTATTTGGTTTTAGTAAACTGAACAAAAGTCAAACCACCCTTTCAAAAAAAGAAATGAAAACATAAAAAATAAAGAACATAACTCAACATTTTACTTTTTTGCTAGTCTTTCATCACCATTTATTCGTCCATTACTTTATTTCATAATCAAAACATTATAATTCTCATTTTTTGAAAGTAAATGTGTAGTAAAGAAGAAAGGAAGAAAAGAAATAGGTATTGAAGTGTAAAGAGTATAAAGAGATAATCAAATCTATTTAATTCTTACTTTTTGTCCTTAAATGTAATTTCACACATGGGTAAAATTGAAGAAAAAAAATTATCTCAAATAGAAAGTGTAAAGAGGTAATATGTTGTGTAAGTAAAATTTCTCCACTCTTAATATCATGTCATTTTTTGTAATTAAAATTGTGTAAAAACTACCATATTATTAACCCAACCTCATAACTCGTGAAGATAATCAAACATGGCCACATGTGAGTACTTCCATAAGCCAGACTTACAACACTTTTCATCATGCATTAAAATTATTTTCAGACAAGGGTACTTTTGTCCATGCATTAGAACTTTCAAAAAAAAAACAAACACAAACACATCCAAACTTACATATACAGTATAAATATGGATAAATATGCAAATTGTATACGTTTCATTTGCCAACGACTAGACACAAATTCTAGCTTCCACGGTAAGTGGTGAAAGAGAACGGTGAAAACAACAAAGGAACATGAAAATGTTCCCACTTTTGCGACTCCCTAACTTCAAACACAATAGAGACAAAAGGAAAGAAACCACCTGGTGAATATTTTCCCGTATTGAAACTTATCCGGTATGTCCCTGGATTCAAAGCATCAACTATACTCATCAGCTGACCGCTTCGTCCGTCTTTGTCGGTGGTTGAAGACCCTTGAAACACCCAATTGCCTGTTTCATTCTCACCAAATGTTGGGCAGGCTTGATTGCCTCTCCACATCTCTAATCGTACATCAATACCAGACGCAGGAGATCCACAAGCAACATCCAAGACATGAGTTGTGATAGGCGGTCGAGTCCTAACTGGAATTCCCGCTGGTTTTGCCACAGGAGCCTCAGATGAAGTGGTCAGATGTGCTCCAATGATGCTCACACGATCTTCTACAAGTTAATATTGAACGTCACATTTTGTATATACATATGTAACTCATATAACCCATTACAATATGTTACATGAACTCGGATACGAATGTCAAGTGCAGGAGCATATCTAGAAGTTGGACCGATCAAACCTCAAATTTATGAGTACACAGACTCTGTTAAAAAAAGTCATATTTTTATATTTTTAATCTATTATGTGAGATAAAATAGTGTCACATTTTAATCATTTTAAAACAGTTAAACGGTATAATAGGTGTCCGATGGAAAGTATTGGCCACATATCCCACACCCTTGTCCAAGTGTCTGTCAGGTATCCGACATAAGTATTTAATTTATTTTGAAGAGTCCATATAAAATAGTGTGCAACACTACCTCCAGCTTTTGTTGCAATATCTTGAGCATTAGTTGTTGAAGCACCCTCTGCTTTAGTCGAAAAAAGCTTGGCAAGACGTTGTTCAATTATTTTCATTTGCTCCCCGGCTGCAATCTCAAACTCAGCTAGAGGCCTGTTTTGGTAACGTCGCTACAGGCAAGGGAAAAATAAAAACATCCATCAGCCTAAGCCGGCCATTTGAATATTATTATTTCAAGAGAACTAGTAAAATAGAGAGTGAAAGAAAAATAAACATCAGATGCATTCAATTTACGAAAGAAATGCAGAGTTCCAAGGATTTGTTTTCATGTGTATCACAATGGAGTAAATTCTTTTCTTATTTGTAACTGTCTCTATGTATTAGTACACAGCTAGAACATCCTGGAGTAATTAAATATTTGTCAGAGGTTATTGTTGCCAATCAAATAGGTTAAGACCAATGGATTAAGAAAGAGTTTTTTATACATTGCTACTTTTTCCTGCTGGGTCATTTTTAAACTTTCTTTTTAACCAAGGAGCTGTTCTTGTTAAATTCCCTAGAAATACATTGAAACATGGGAGCAAATTGGAAAAAATTCATGACATAAACATTCTCTGCTGCACTTTTGACCAAATATTATCTCCTCAATATGCGGCTCTGTTTTCCTGGAAAGAAAGAATTATTTAGGCTGCGAGGATCCTGGATTCATTCAGGAAAAAGGAAACAGTAAAGAAAATAGAATTACTTAGACATGCTCATTTTATGTATGTAACTATAAAAATAGATTTTTTGACAAACATACATTCATTTCCTTCTCCTGTTCCTAACTAACCCAAAAAAAAAATTGACTTCTACTTCATTTTCTTTTCATAACTTTTCCCGTTCCTTTCTTTTCCCTCCACAAATCCAGGGTCTAAACACAGCCATAGTGTTTTCCCCCCAATAAACTACTTTGTTCTCCATAAACATACTCAGGTAATGCTCATGCCAGTCAGAAAAGAAATCTATACATTTTAAATCAAGTGAGGTGCTTGGAGAAGTATTTCACCATAAAGACTTTACCTTCAGCTCAGCAAGTATTTCAGGGGTACTCCTCCCAGAGGCACATATGAGAAAAACAAATCCAAACTTCTCGTGATATCGACTATTCCAATCAGATAGTTCCTGCATAGACAAAGAAGGACTATGTTTCTACGAATGCAGCGAATGATGGTTTCAGATTCAGAAATAGATAACAGTTTCAAACTTCTATCCAATCCAAATATTCCAAATTACATGTCCACCAAAAACATAAAAACCGTCTCAAAAACACAAGCCAATAAAACAAAAAGCCAAAAAGCTTGTTTGTCATCATCAGCTAAAAAGTTAAATGTCACATCAACTTTGTCACTCACAAAAAAGAGACTTCTGAGAAATTTCCCAAACACTTTACAAAAGCCAATAAGTCAAAAAGCCACTAGAAATGCCAACCCCAAAGTAGGATAGGATAGGAAGCAAAATATAGTTATTTCATTTCAACTAGTCACAACTCAGCCGTTTTCTGTTCTTCATGTAGTTTCCCTTCACCCACCACATGTTGCAGCAGGTGTGTTGCTGATATCTTAAACTAAACAAAATAGATTTCAGAATTGTTTCATTAAGTTTCAGCTACCTGCAAGGTAGAATCAGTAGCAGTAGCCAAAGCAGTTGATTGCTCCCCTTTGCTCCACCTACAGGAAAACAGCCTCACTAATTATTTATGTTTATTTCAATTAAAGAAAGACATACGGCATACATGTAATTCAACCAAGATTTGAACCTCATCTTTGGAATGACAAGAGGTGCTGATCAAGCTAAAAGCTGGTGGTTCACCAATTACTTAAAACACACACACACACACACACACACACAAAAGAGTAAATAACACTGACCTCCCCCGAGTTTTTGCATAATTGCAAGGACCTCCGTGTAGTTTTAATAATTACACTAAACTCTCTTGCATGTGAAACTATTATCAAGATTTCCCCAATTTTTTTTCTTTTTTGTTTTAGCATCAACAAAGATTTCCCCATTGTGAGTCATCCGTAACTATACATAACAAAAGTTGCTGATGTCAACTATGATTATTTTCAAATGCCAACATGTCCCCTCAGTTGCCTCCAAACCATTTATATATTAAACACACCCACAGCACAACACCAACCAAGATAACAAGTAGTGGTGTTCATGGACGATTTTTGTTTCAATTTTAAAGAGAACTAAGAATTTAGGAACCAAACCGAACTGTATAACCTTTTTAACCGAACCAAAACCAAACTACAAAAAAATAGTTCAATTTCGGTTCAATTCTATGGTTCTAAGAAAATTCAGTTCAATAAAAAAATTGTTTATACCTATAAAAGTATTCCAAAAAATTGAGAAGCATACTTAAGAACTTAGCAATATTTCTCCAAACCAACTTTTATAAAATGTGTAAAAGACACATCAAATTCTTCCTGTTATATACTAAATACAACATAAATGCAATTTTAAATAATATAAGAAGTGTCAAATCTTATAAATAGAACAGTTCAGTTAAGTTCTTTTGAGCCTTAATCCTAAAACTGAACCATAATCAATGGTTGTTAATTACTTGCAACCAAAACCCAACTGTTCTCTTGAAAAACCAGACCAAACCATACGATTCGGACCATTCTAAATTGATTTATCAGTCAACTCTTTATTTCATGAGTATTCCTTAAATTTTTATTCCATCTTTAAAAAGTGGGCGTCAATTCTTCTGGTAAATTTTCCTTACAAAGATTAAGGGTAATTTTTTGTAGTATTTTCCTGCTTATCTTTTACAATAACTACCTAAGAAGCATGAACACAGATACAAATGCGGACACAAACACGGATACGGATGTGGACACGGGACATAATGATTTCAAAAATATAGGGACACGGCAATAAAATATATTTTTATTTGCTATCTAGATAATATTACATAAAAAAAAATCAAAATGAACAAAAATTAACTATAATTTTATATTTTAAAAAAAAAAAACTTTGAAATTAACACTTACCGTTTATATCTTTTATATCTTTTTTATGAATGATCTATTAAGTATTTTGTTAAGTGTTAGGGGTAGTTTAGTCTTTATGTCTTATTCTTATTAGCATAAATAGTTGTGTGTAAGAGGGAAACCCTATGTTTTTTAATCAATAATATACCGCAGTTGTTTCTCCTCTCTCTCTCGGTTTTGCAACTTCTTCTTCTCCTTCTCATCTATACATTTAACATGGTATTAGAGCAATATCTTCCTCCTTGGCGATTGTAACGCCAAGAAAATTGGGCAGGGTATATCTATTTATGCTACAAAACCCACCACTATTCCATACATCCATTTTCATTAAATCCCAAATGCCAAATACATACTATTCACATCTCAATGCCCCAGTTCCAATCCCAAGCATACATTTTACAAGTAGTATGAAATGGAAGCCAAACAGATAATAAGTGCCCTACAGGCTTACAAATTTATCCAAGAACATTCTTGGTTACACAAGATGGGGTTTCAACTCAACGCAAATACAACCCTGGGCTTACATTCAACAAATAACAATAAAACAAAAATGAAGCCTCAGCTCCGAGTCCTCCCAAGTCAATGCCTTGGCAGAGGCATAGCACCTATACCTGAAATGGTTTCCCTTATAGGGTGAGCCACAGCCCAGTAGAGATATACTACACAACATATGAACCATGACAAGACTAAAGAGGAGTATGCTCATGCCATGCTCATGATAAAATAATTTATCTCTCTTTTTATAAAGCATGCAATGCTGAGATGCAACAACAAATATAAAATCATTTCCATTTTAAACCATATCTGTTACATGAATACAGGCTCTGTGAATCTCTAGACGAGTGTCTGCAAGTAGGCCCTAATGCACTACCACTATCATTTTTACCAGTAAACTGGAAGGCTCGACACCTAACCGCGCGGTTCTATACCCCCTACCCAGATTCACCAAGTATTCATCTTTTCACAAATAGATACATTTCCAAACATTTCTCAAAAACAGATACATTTCCAATAAAATGAATGTAATGCAATGTCCAATGCAACAAATGAGGAATGTGGTTCAATTTACCTAAGTCTCATGCATTTCTACAACAATCATGGCTATCCTCCACCGATAGCCCAAAATAGATATTTCTAAACAGATATTTAAACAATTAAATTTCAAAAAAAATTCCGATAAATACAATCAATTCCACTTCTCATCAAATATGAACTACACTAGTTTTCATATCACAATCACGGTAACCTCTCAAGGTCCATTTCTAATCGTGTTGGTTTTATTCCAACAAATACATTAAGCAAAATAATACCGTTAATACCCAAGAAAATATCATTTTCTTTCCAAACTCATTCTCCAAGCATTATTCAACTATGACATCCTATTTTGATCAAAAGCCCCAAAAGTTAAACATAATTCCTTTGTTTTCTTTAAAAATACTCTTTTGGTCGCAAACCGATAAAAATTTCAAAACTGATCGAGTCGAAGTCCCTTTTTGTTCAAATTTAAAACATAGCTCTTTCATAACCTTACAAATTTATTCCAAGTTTACACTTTCGCAATTTGGGCATATCAACTCTTTATTTTTCTCAAAATTTCTCTTTTAAGCAAATAAATCACAAATTTTTCAAAAATTCTAATTAAATTATATACAACTCTAAACTCTATATAATCAAGTAAAAGTGCAAAAAGAAATGTAGGAAAAATCTCTACCTCAAGTTAGAAGAGGAAACAAGCAAAAACGCCAATTTTCGACTTTGTTGGATTTCGATCTCCACCGATCAAAACGTTGCTCTCATCAAGCTCTTCACTTTGATCTTAAGAACTATGGTCTACAACCTAATAGATTTTGGTGGATCAAAAGTTTTACATGATGAATGTCTAAGAGAAAAAAAAAATGAGGGAGAGAAACTGAGCCGAAAGAGATAACCAAAAGTGGGAGAGAGAGAGCTAGGCAGCTTTGGAAAATGCAAATAAAAGAATGGCAAAAGGGTTGGACAACCCCACGTGGGGTTTGTCCCTTTTTTTTATTTATTTTTTTATTTTTTCAAATCAATACAAATATCTATCAATATATATACATCTATATATATATATATCAATTAAAAGTATGTTTCAATATCATTATAAATTTAGAATAATGACTTGGACCCCCTTTTTTACTCACCCCCTTGACCCCCTCTTCCTATGATTCGTCCATTTTTCTTTTTCTTTTTCTTTTTCTTTTTCTTTTCTTTTTTTTTCCTTCTCCTCCAATCACCACCCGCCACGTGTGTGTGGGGGTGGTGGGGGTGGTGATTGGAGGGGGTCTCAATCATCACCCATAAATTTAGTAGCATAAATGACAAAAATGATATAATATTTTCACACCAGAAAATATATTTCGTTTAATGGTACACACCATAAATATTCACAATTCGTTTATGGTAATTAAATAATAATAATAAAACCACAACAATATTACATGGTTACTAACGGGTCACGATTCAATCAATTGGGTCCAAAATGAATAGAGTTAAATAATTTAAAATAAATCCTTAACTGAGATTAAAATATAAATTAATTTTAAAAAACTTAAGGTGGTCCCCAACATTTACATAATTAAATATGAACCAAAATGATTAAGTATGGACTAATCAAATAAAACCCAAAAATTGAATTTATATCTCATTTATTACTCAAGACCCAAGAATCACTATAACTAAAACTAAAAAAAATAATTTTGCCAAGCAGGCCTTACGAAGTCGAAATCAAGAAGTAATATAATTTATTTTCACCAATTTAAATAGCATAGTCCACGATTTTACCACAACAATAATAATAAGGGCAAAATTTAATTTAATTCAACTCGTTACAAAGATTGTTCCTCTCCTTCCCTCGTTCTTGTATCCTGGTACGTTCTCAAAAAAAAAATAAATAAATAAATAATTGCAGTATGCTCGAAAATTAATAGGTATACATCCTATAATCTGCTTTTGATTTTTTGGTTATTATTGATTATGTTTTCCAATTTTTTTTATTTTTCATCAAAACTGGGTGATTTTTTGAAAGTCACTGTTTGACCCTTTTTGATTGATTTTTCCCTCCCCCTCACATCTTGGGAGCCAACTGACCCTCTAGAGGGGTATGTTGTCCCTATTTTGATGTATTTTGGCCCTACCTTCGCATTTTCCTGAGTTTTGGATGATCTGTTTCAGTGTTTGGGCTCCTAGTTGATCTGGTTGCTTTATTCTGGGATTATATTGCACAGTTTCAACCTTAGAAGGTGCTTTGTTGTGCTGGTTAGGTGTTTTCAGGACTTGTTTGATATCCTGCTTGTGTTTCTGCACCATCTCTCTCTTATCTCATGGCTGAAAGCAAGGGTCAGTAAAGGGCAAGGATGAGAGTGGACTGAGTCATGGTATGACTTTTGGTGATAGTCCTTCTCTCCAGATTAGTCCGGTCACATTTAATGGCACCAATTACTTGATTTGGTCCCGTTTCTACAGTCTTGCCATTGCCACCCGGCGTTTGACTGGCTATATTACCGGTAGTACCAAGCAACCTACTGAGGACAGTGCTTTATCTGCTCAATGGATTTCTGAGAATGCTTTAGTGATGACCTAGCTGATCAATTCTATGGAACCTACCATTAGTAGGACTTTTCTCTTGATGGATGCCACTCACAAGATTTGAATAGCCACATCTCAGATGTATTCTCAACAGGGTAATGATTTGCACAGGCCTATGAATTGAGAAAGAAGATTAGGGGCTTGGATCAG